TCAGTCTAGTTGTGGAGGACGTTGCTTCACTGGCCCAAGTTGGCACCATCATTGCGCTCTTCCCAGGTGAGGCAGATCAGTCGCCGGCTTCTGGAAGGCCGCTCACTGAGGCTGCTGGCTGCTCACGCTGGCTGCTGGCTATACACGGTAGCCCATGGCAACCCACCTGCTGCCGGTGATTCACGGCAGCCCAGCTCCAGGTTGAGCTGTTGTTCAGCATCTTAGCTGAAGAGGGCAGTGTCGCTGGCACTCATATGTGGGATCCGAACCGAGGCCCTCTGGCGTCCCAAGCCAGCTCTTAACCAACGCGCCACTCGGCATTTTTTTAGCCAATCTAATAGTTGTGTGGTGGCATCTCATTGTGTTTTGAATTTGCATTTTCCTAATGAAAGCAGATGTTGAGCATCTTTTTTTTTTTTTAAAGATTTTATTGAAGAATTGGGGAAGGGAAACAGTGTTGGGGAATTGGGGAAGGGGAACAGCCAAGTTGTTGTCCTTCAGTCTTAGTTGTGGAGGGCGCCAACTAGCTCAGCTCCAAGTCCAGTTGCCATCCGGCCGCCCATCGGCAGCTCGATGGTGAGCATCTTTTCATGTGTTCATCTGCCAGTCATATATTTTCTTTGGTAAACTGTCAGTTCAAGTTTTTTATACATATTTCTTTCCATTGGGTTCTTTGTTTTCTCATTATTGAGTTTTGAGAGTCCTTCATATATCCTAGATGCAAAGTCTTTGTCAGATATGTGTTTTGCAAATATTTTCTCCCCATCTGTAGCTTGTCTTTTCCTTCTCCTAACAGTGTCTTTCACGGAGCAGGATTTATAAAGGAAGTCCAATTTGTCAGTATTTTCTCTCATGGATAATGCTTTCAGTGTTGTGTCTAAAAAAATCTTTGCCTAACTAAGGTTAGAAAGATTTTCTTCTGTGTTTCCTTCTAGAAGTTTGATAGCTTTGAGTTGTACATATAGGTCTAAGATTCATTTTGAGGGGGTGTTTTGTATAAAATTTGAGCTATGGGTTGAGAGGCTCATTTTTTTTTTCGCACAAGGATGTTCAATTGTTCTAGCATCATTTGTTGAAAAAAATGACTGCAGAGCAAATTCACCAGGATTGTGTGTGTGTTTGGATGGTTGGGGGAGGGGAGTGGGAGAGGTAATAGAAACTACCAGTGGGCGGGGCTACAGAGCCCCATGCTCCCACCTGGGCACCAGGCCTGGGACTTCTGGCCTCCCATGGGCAGTGGGCCATAAGGCCCTGTCAAAGAGAAAAGCCTTTTTTGGACCCTGTGAGGCCTCATGTGGTTACTGTTTAACACCTTGGGTGAAAATGAGCTTTTCTTATAACCACTGAGAGATTGAATGTTGCTCTAAGCAGGCTGTCAACAGGACCTTTATTGTCAGGCATATCCTGGGTGGGACCCCCTGATGGCCTCTCAGACTCCTTGCTGTGGAGAGGAGCCTGGCAAGGTGCCGAAACACCTTTTTGCAGGGCAGGAAGGACGCACAGCCTGGCAGCGTCTTCAGGGTCCAGAAATGGGAGGGCTGGGTTTGTTCTAGGCCCCCACGTAGGCAGGAGATGACTCAGGGAATGCCGAGGTCTGGTGGTGTGTGCCCCCTCTCTCCTTCCTCTCTGTGGTGGGAGAGCCCACAGGGGCTCTGCCTGGCTGTGTTCCCGCCATTCTACTTCTGGGGTTTCTATCCCGAGGAAATAACCACACATGGACCAGGCTTTGTACCACAGCTTGGCTTCGGAGCTCAGAAAACTGGCAACTGCCTCAGTGTCGAAGGACTGATGAAATGAATTCTGGGCTCATTTTCCTAGTGGAATGCTGTGCAGCTACTTAAGGGGTGATGCAAAGGTACATGGTGTGCGGGAGAGAGGTCTTGGGTGGTCCCATTGGTTAGAGGACAGCATGTCCACGCACTGGAGGCGTTTCTGTAAATATCAGATGCTTAGGTAAGCATATATGTATTTTGTTATTTACCACACTTTCAGAGCCAGTTCTTTCTGTAACCAGCCCTTAATCCCTGCAGCTGTAGTGACAGGGTTTTTATTTTATTCAAAATTCCTACTCTCTTTTCCCACTGGACCATTTTTCAGGCTCACAGCCAAGGAGCCAGGAGATGGAGGGGGAGTGGCTGAGGGGCTGCAGAGAAGGAGGGGGCGGGACCAACAGGAGAAGCCCTGGGCCAGCCATCTGGGGGTGGGAAGGAGGGGGAGAGGATGGCAGATGTGGTCCCCCCTCCCCGCTGCAGCAGGCTGCCTGCCTCTGTCCGTGTGTCAGGCAGTGGGGAGGGCGACCGTAGCTCCGTTCACATCCCTGGCTTCCCACTATCACCAAGGGCACTTGTCTGCAAATGGCTCCTTGGGAACCAGTGGATTTAAAATTGGTGTGAGTTAACTTTATTAAAGTGAAATTTGAGGCTTAAGGTTTCTATATAAAACAGATACACAGAGATATGCTCCCTAAAAGGAGGCTGCAGCTGAGGCTCTGTCTATTGGGGACCCCCTTATCTCCTCACACATACACAGCAAGCCCCTACCTCATCTTGGAAGATATGAGGCCTGGGGGAATTTTCTGTGGCCCATGATAAGGCAGCTGAAATTCCTCTACCCAGGTGGTCACTCAAGGTCAGGGAGCAGGGCTGCTGACCTTCCATCCATCCCACAGCCAGCTCAGGGCCTGGCCCGCAGGAAGTGCTGAGTGAAACAGCTGTTTAGTACACCACCTCTTTGCAGGGCACCATCGGGGCTGCAAAAGCCCAAAGCAAGTGTGTGGGGGTGGGCAGCTGGATGGATGGATTCAGAGTGACGTTCAAAATGTTTAACAACTTCGTGGTCCTGGCTCTGATTAACCATTAGATGCTACAGTAGAGAGTGGAACGGGGATTTCTGGCAGAGGGCCTGGGGCTGCTGAGGCACTCAGGAGGGCACACACAGAGTTTGGGACAGGAGTGATTTACCACTCAGGATGGAAGTGTTAAAAGATTTTAACTGACATGCATGGCTGTACGTCATCCATAGATGGATGGATGAAGAGACGGATGGATGAGTAGAAAGATAAAAAGATAGAAGGAGGGGTGGATGGGTGGATGATAGAGGGTTGATGGATGGATGGATGGTGGGTGGATGATGGATGGATGGATGATGGATGGCTGGATGGGTGGGTGGGTGGATGGATGGTGGGTGGATGGATGGCTGGATGGGTGGGTGGGTGGATGGAAGGTGGGTGGATGATGGATGGACGGATAATGGATGGCTGGATGGGTGGGTGGGTGGATGGATGGTGGATGGGTGGGTGATGATGAATGGATGGTGGAGGGCTGGTGGATGGACGAACAGAAGAGTGCATGTGTGGAAGGATGGAGAGTGAGTAGAAAGATAGGAAGATGGATGTATGAGGGAAAGATAAAAGAATAGAAGGATGGACGGATGGATGGATGGATGATAGATGGGTGAGAGGAATGACAGAAAGATGGACGTGTGGAAAGGTGGAAGGATGGAGGATGAGTGGAAGGATAGGAGGATGGGTGGGTGGAAAACTAGAAGGATGGATGGAAAGACTGAAGGAAGGAAGGAGGATAGAAGGATGGGAGGACGTTTGCAGCGAGGTTGGTGGGTTACAGAGAACAGCCCATTGCTGATGGGCTGGCTGTCGTGTCTGGACGCCCACAGGGAGCTTCCTGGTGCCCTATGTCGTCATGCTCATCGTGGAGGGAATGCCGCTCCTATACCTGGAACTGGCGGTCGGGCAGCGCATGCGCCAGGGCAGCATCGGTGCCTGGAGGACCATCAGCCCCTACCTCAGCGGCGTCGGTACGTGCGTGGGCCTCTCCAGTCTTCTCCCAGGGGAGACCCGGGTGGGGGTGGGAGCCAGAGGCCCAAGAGAGCCCTTGAATGGGGTGCGCCGACAGCCCAGGAGGAGCTGCCATGGACTATGGGCCCAGAGGGGCTGGTTTCCTACCCCCGGGGCAGCAGGAAAGGGAGGGGCCACACCCCTGGGGTACCGAGGCCACATTGCTTCTCTTCTCCAGTCCTCAGTTTGCTTGTCTGTAAAAGAGAAACAGCTGCCCACGATGGAACTGTGACTCCGTGTTCTAGCTGACCACCATTCTGAGAACTGCCCTTCTAACTATTAATAACGACGTCTCCTTCTTTCCATGAGCACCTACTATGTGCCAGGTGCTGGCCTCTACAGTATATGTACACGAGCTCATTTCATCTTCACACCCCTGAGAGGTTACGGGGGGTGTCGTTAGTATCTCCAGTGTGGGAAGGTGGGCTTGCGTGGATCGCAAGACAGGCACTGCCTTACATCCTGCCTGTCCTTGAGTTACCTAGAGCTGGCGTCCTGGGCACTAGAGCTGGTTAACCTGCCTTCACAATCCCCACGCTCCCGAGGCGCCTCTGCTAGTAGGGGGAACTTTGACCAGTGATGGCCACGCTCTGTTCTGCTCACCCCTCCTGCCGCCTGACAGGAAGGCAGGCAGGAAGGCAGAGTGATGTTTCAGGAGCAAGGAGGCGTACACTATTACGGGATTCAGTTTCAGATGCAAAAGAAATGTGCCCCGTGGCCTCACAAATCATCTTCAAACCCGAACTGCCTCCTCATGTTTAATGGCTGTTAATTTTTAACACAGAGGTGTGTGGATTTCCAATTTGCCCGAGTAAGCAATCACAGAGGGCTTCTCCGAGGCAGCACTTGCTGTGTAATAGGAAAGATACCAGACGTTTGTGCCAATGTGGGGGGTGGGGGGGCTGGTGAATGTTTAACAATCAGCACCTGAGGCAGGAGAAGGCCCAGTTTGTAGCATTTGCCGTTACCGTGGTGTAAATACTCCCACTGTGGCTAATTGCAAACTACTAACAAGATGCCCCTGAGTGTGGGGTTGGGCAGAGATGCACATAATGGCTCAGGCCGGCGTGGCCAGCTCCAGAGCGCCACTGGTTGCCAACGCTGCCTGTGCTCCGGGCCCACCCTGGGTTCCCTGCAGGCCTGTCCAGGTGGCGAGCAGCCTCCATCCTGTCCCCTACAGTCCTGGCACACCTCCTCACACCTCTGCACCCTGCCACCATCGGGCGGGGACTGGTCCAAGGGATCTAACTTCAGGTGAACAAAGGAGGGAGCAGCCGTAATGTCTGGCATCAGGGTCGAGCTTGGCAGGGACAAAATGCTTCTCACACTAGGTTTAAATCCTAATTCTGTCACTTCCTAGCTGGGGGGGTCTTGGGCAAGCTCTGTGCCTCAGTTTTCTCCTCGGTGCAGGGGGCATAATAATACCCACTTTACAACATTAGGCACATCCAGTACTTAGCACACAGCAGCTAGCACTTAGATCTCAAGAAAATGTCATCAGCCTCCAGTCCCAGAAAATGGGGCGAGAGACTGACCCTTAGAAAGTTCTCGCAGGGTCTTGGTCCTTGTTAACCCTCTCATAAACCTGCTGAAGGAGGTTTTGCCAGCTCAGAGCGGTCACTGCAGGGGTGTCCTGGGGGCACACCGGGCAGGGCATCCTCAGCGCCCTCTGCCTCTGCACAGGTGTCGCCAGCGTGATCGTCTCCTTCTTCCTGTCCATGTATTACAACGTCATCAACGCCTGGGCCTTCTGGTACCTCTTCCACTCCTTCCAGGTGAGCCGGCCGCGCCGGAGCAGGGCGGGCGCAGGAGGTGGGGAGGAGAGCAGGGCCTCCACCAGGGACAGTGGCAGGGTTGGGGGCGGCAGCTTCAGGGAGAGCCAGGAAGTGGTGCCAAGGGCTGGGGGGAGGCCGAGCACCCCAAACCACACAAAGGACTTCCGACCCTGCGACCCATGGACCCTGCAATTGTAAGCCAGGTTGTGCACGTGTGTGTGTGTGTGTGTGTGTGTGTGTGTGTGTGTGTGTATGCACGTTTCTGGGGAGCAGGCCCACTGCTCTCATCAGGTTCTGTCTGAAGGATGTGACCTCAAAAATAGTAAGAACCACTACTAGTGGGCTCAGGGGAAAATCTGTGTAGAGAACGCATGGGGAGGGATTCCACTACCCCAGCAAGACAGTGATGACCTTCCTCCTCCTCCTCCTCTCTTGCCGCCCCCCCCACCCCCACACACACACACCCCTTTCTGCCTCCAGTCACTTGTCCTTCCAGATTTCTGACTCCAGGGTGAGCCTCTCTTTTTCCCTTCGGACCAAAAGTTCTAGAAAAATGTTTTCGCCCCTGTCACACAATAGGGGCTAGTCCCAAAGATAAGCATTTTCAACATGCATTTCTGATGCTAGCCATAGCGGAGGCTCATTGTACAAAATGGGGAAGGGGCTGAAAATTGCAGAGAAGAGAGAACCCTAATTCCTCACTGAGAGGTGCTCTTTGTTTCCAAGCCAAGAGGAGTTTCCCCCTGCACTGCCCGCATTCATTTCTTGTCCTGGGTGCCTGCCTTTCCCTTGCAGGGACCCCACTCCCCACTCAGCCCACTCGCCTTCCAGCAGCCTGCTCCATCTCAGCCTCTTCCCAGACGGGAAGAGAAGGGAGGAGACAGGAACTAACTGGGCAGATGCCTCACCCTTTGCCACTGAGTCAGGCCTTCACGGAATAGACCTTGTCCCCGATGTCCAAAAGCAAGGCAGGGCTGGCCATGGACTGTGGACTAACCCCAATTTGTGGGGCCCCAAGGAATGCTTGGGTGAATGGCCTCAATAATCAGGACTTGGCGTCTACACTCACTGTGGCTACCCAATCAGCCTTACCCAAGTTGCCCCATTGGAAAATGCCCTGTGTACATCCCTGACAGGAGGGACACTGCCCTGAGCTTAGCTGCAGCCCCTCGTCCTCTTCCTGACTCAGCCTGAAGTTCCGTGAAGACCAGCCACACCCTGCCTTTCCCCACCTTCTGGGTAGAAACAGGGCAGCTCCTCTGACTTTCCAGCCTGGTGACCAGTTCCCCTCCTCTGTGCAGGGCTGTCAGGTATATAGTTGAGCAGGTTGTGCACTGCCCAACATCACTCCAATGAAGAGGTTGCTATACACCTTGCAGGCATTGTACAATTGATCTGTATACTTATTAAGACAATTTTCCAAAGGTGGAAGCAACATGTCCTGGTTTAACAAAATCAGAATAATTTGACCACCTTCCAAAGGTAAAAATAAAGTGTCCCAAGAAAGGAGGCACCTTTTTCTAACTCTTGGAAGTGTGAGGGTCAGCAATTCCTGAAAATCGCTTGACTATTCATTGATCCCCTCCTTCCCAGGTTGGTGGACATCCCCCTCAGTCCCTCTGCTTTGGAACCCTCCTCCATGGTCACATAATAACAGCAGTTAAAGCAGACTTTCACTTAACACTTGCCCTGGGTCAGGGGTAGTCTTATGCACGTTAGAAGAATTCACTGATGTAACCATCACCACAACTCTGACCCTGAGAGACCTGAGTCCCCCAGGCAGAGGGGATCTGAGTAGCTGTGAGATTGGATGCAAGCATCCTGGCTGAAGGTCTGTGCTCTGATCCGTCCCACTGCCGGGCTGGGCTCTAGAGCCTCATGTCTGGCTTTTCCGAGCAGGAGCCGGGGGGCTGTTACAACGGCAGATGCAGCGGGGAAGGCTGGGGGCTGAGAACTGGTCCATTTAACCTCTTTTACAACTCTGCCACCCTAGTCCTACCCCCAAAGGTTCTGGAGTCATCAGTTTGGGGTGCATCCTGAGCGTTGGGAATGTAAAAGCTCCCCAGGTGTTTCTAATGTGCAGCCCAGATTGCGAACCTTTGCTCTCAGCTGCTTTCAATGAGCTGACAGAGCTGTTGGGCCTGATTTATAAACCTTTTCTCCTTGGTGCATCCCCAGGTTTGCACTCCTGCTGGGGTTGAGATGTTCCTTTAATTCTAATCTAAGGCTCTCCACCCTGGCTGCATGCTGGAATCAACCTGAGCTTTCAAAACTCCAATGCCCAGGCCTCACCCCAGACCAGTGAAATCCACTGGAGGTGCAGCCTGGCCATCATATTTTTTAAAGCCCCCAATCCCACTTCCCACAGATGATGCAGTCATGCTGAGGTTAGGATGCAGGCCCGGCTGAGCTGGCATCAGCCACAGTCCTGTGAATGGACCCAGTCAGTCCTGCGCAGGCTGGGTAGCTCCCTCCTGACTGGGGCCAGGCACCTCGGTTCCCTCCACATGGCTTCTGTCTCCGTGAGTCCTCACCACCCGGCAGTCGCCCAAGTGTCTTTAATTGAGAGCTGGTTACCTAAAGGTGAAAACAGCAGCTGTGAGGCTTCAGAAGGCCTAGGCCGGGAAGTCACACCTCATCACTTCACTGCATTTTGTTGGTCACAGCAAGTCACAAGCCCGCCCAGATTCACGGGGCAGGACAACAGATGCTACCTTTCCAGGGGAGAAATCCAGGGGGCCACCTTTGGATACATTCTGATTCAAAGCTAGAAACCGGTTCTCACATTCCCAAGGGTAAGGGACCCCCGATTCTTGCCAGGGTTCCCACCAGCACAGGTCTCGAGCAATTAGTTCTCTTTCCTATGAAATACGGGGATTGAACCCAATGGGGTCAGACTCGCTTCTGTTAGTGGAGAGTTTTTGTCTAATGAAACCTGAGTTAATAGAACCCAGATACACACAGAACTGATGGAGGTGGGGCTGGTCTTGGTAGAGCAGAGGTGGGACCCCTAAAGCCCCTCCTCAAGCCAGAATTAAATCCACCACCCTCCCCCTCAGCTCAGTCCTCCATGTGGCCCTCAGCCCTGGGTCACGTTCATGGGACCTGCACTATTTAGGCTCTTCTGTTGCTAAGTGACAGGGAACCCAGTTCAAACTAGCTGAAGCAGAAGAGGCTCTTCCTGGCTCTGTCTCCACAGCCCAGGGGACTGCTTCAGGCTCAGAGGAAGCCACCAGCACCAGGCTCTCGCTGTCTTAGACGTACGAGATGGCTACAGGGAGGCTGAACCGTGTGCCTCTCTAACTCCCAAAGTCCAATCTCCATCATAGGAGTCACCTGTCTCCACCACCAGTTTGTGAGGGAGGACCCGAGTCTCACTCATGACAGGACTTGCTAGGGACTTGTGGAAATAAAGGAAGACCACTCACATGAGGGAGGCAGAGGCTGTGCATTCGGAGCTTGTGCTCATTTGCACTAGTAGAGACTCCAAGGCAGGCAGAGGCGTGAGAAAGCATGTGAGTGGAGAGAAGGGAGGGCTTCGGGCGTGCCCTGATTGGAGGCTGTGGGAGCAGGAGGTGGGCTCTCTATGTGATTGACTGGGGGAGCTATCTGGCCTTCTCCAGTTGGTACTGAGTTGGAGGAAACAGAAGTGAGAGAAGCTGGCAGTCAGCGACCACGTTCTGATGGTTGTGGACCGATTGCTGCAGACCTTGTGGTTACCTCTGGGTTGTGGGTCCGAGCTCTGTTATAGGTGGTCTGGCCGTTGTCCGTTTGTATATTCAGTCTCTCAGACTCGGAGTCGAATTCGGTGGCCCTCAGCCAACGCCTGTAGGGTTGCAGGGTGCGAGGAGCCCCCTCGCCCAGCCCCAAGCCGCGCCTGTGCCCCTGACAAACCCTCTGAACCATGTCTGCCTTTAGATGCTCTCCAGCCTCCTGCCTCCTGGGGACCAGCACCCTTCAGTTCAAGAGCCCGGTATCAAGGCCACCTCCCGTCCTCCCCACCCTGACCTTTGGCCTCTGCCCTCAGCTCTCGTGTAATGCTTGTGTTGATCCCAAAGGACCCCCTGCCGTGGTCTGTCTGCCCGCTGAACGACAACCACACAGCCTATGACGAGGAGTGTGAGAAGGCTTCGCCGACACAGCACTTCTGGTACAGGAAAACCCTCAACATCTCGCCATCCATCCAGGACAGCGGGGGCGTGCAGTGGGAGCCAGCACTGTGCCTTATCCTGGCCTGGCTCGTGGTATACCTGTGCATCCTGCGGGGCACTGAGTCAACTGGCAAGGTAGGACTGCAGAGCGTGAGGGGCCGGCGCCCTGGGCGGGCGGGCGGGCAGCAGCCTCTCTCCCGGGGCCGTGCTGAGAGGCTGCCTTCCGCAGTCGAGGTGCAGAAGCTGTGCCAGACGGTGTGCTGGCACAAATCACCTACTAGGTGACTATAAAGATAGCCAGAGGGGCTTGACGTTGCAGCCCTAAATCTGGAAACAAGGACTTTTCCACTACCTTAAAAAGACAAGCGTTTCCATACCCGCTATCCCCAAATCCAAACTGCCCATGTGGCACCAAGCAACTAGACAGAGGGTTCCCCCTCCTTTAAAAATCTTAACTAATTGGAGATGTCCCCGAGACACCCTAGCCGTTGTCAAGCTTACCTGCACATTGGTCTCACCTGGAGAGCTTTTACAACCCTGGTCAGTCCTACTCCCAAAGGACCTGGAGTAATCATTGTGGGGTGCCACCTGAGCAACGGGAATGTAAAAGCTCCCCAGGTGTTTCTAATGTGCAGCCCAGATTGAGAACCTTTGCTCTCAGCTGCTTTCAATGAGCCGACAGAGCTGTCAGGCCTGATTTATAAACCTTTTCTCCTTGGTGCAGCCCCAGGTTTGCACTCCTGCTGGAGCTGAGCTGTTCCTTTCATTCTAATCTGTTCCATTTGAGAGTTTCCTTCACCTGCCACCTTTCTCAAGCTTCATCAGGTACCCCGGAGCCCCAGCGTCCCCAGCTCACACTCAGTCGCTCCGCACAGCAGACCCACCTTGGGTTGGGTTGGGTGCACCCAGCGTAGTGTCTCAACCTTGCCACAGCCCTTCGTGGTAGATTTCAAATCCTACTCAGGCTTAGGGAGCTAACGTGACCTGGCCAAGGGCACCACCTTGTGAGGCAGACCCAGCTTTACCCCCAAAGCCTCCAGATGGTCTTGGCTTGGTGAGCCACCTCCTGTGTGCTCTCTCCACGTCTTCCGTGACTTAATCCCAGCTTTTCCCTTCTGAAGGTCCTAAGAGCCCACCCATCCTCCCTCTCTTGACCGCCTGAGTTGCCTCGTTCAACCCACCATGTTTTTCCTGAGGCATCACGACTAGGGCCACCCACAGTATTTTAGGTACCCCATGACGACACCAGTACCATGCTTGGTAGGACATTTTCTTCCAGTCTCCAAGAGCCTGATAGCCAGTGTCTTCGACTCAGCAGCACTCCATCCCATGACCGAGCTAAGGGACCAGTGAGCGTTCCCTGGACGAGCTGAGAGCCTACAGAAACTCACTCTGTCCCATCTTGAAGCTTGGCTGATATGGATGCTCATAAAAAGTGTTTTTGCCATTTGTCTTTGCCAAATTATGATGAATGTGATCCCAAAGATCCGAGGGCAACATCTGCAAACTTGGAGATATAATGAGACCATCCCTTTTCCAGATCATTTACAAATGTGTTAAATGAGGTCATGTCATGCCATGAACACTTATTTATTCTACATGTCTAGTGCCTCTGCTTCAGCCACACCCTCTCCTTGACACAAGGGCTCCATCAGCTCTAATTATGGGGATTAATTTTGTTAATGGTGGTGTGCCATTTCCTGGCCTCCTCTGCTGGAATCACCTTTTGTCCTCCAAGAGTCTTTGCAGGTTGGTCAGAAATGGCTTATCCCAGTAGTTTAGGATGTATCATGTGTCCAGCAATCCTGCCAGCTTCCCTGAGCGAGGAAAAGTGAGTCACCTTGGTCGAGATTCCAGAGAGCTTCCTGGGAAGTGTATTCACCTGAGGGGACGAAGGGAAATTCTAAGGCAGCGGTTCTCAACCTTCCTAATGCCACGACCCCTTAATACAGTTCCTCATGTTGTGGTGACCCCCCAACCATAAGATTATTTTCGTTGCTACTCTATAACTGTAATTTTGCTACTGTTATGAATCGTAATGTAAATATCTTTTTGTTTTCTGATGGTCTTAGGCGACCCCTGTGAAAGGGTCGTTCGACCCCCAAAGGGGTCGCGACCCACAGGTTGAGAACCGCTGTCTAAGGGCTTGCCCTAAGTGCCCTCTAAGTGTCTGCTGGTTAAGGACACTCGTCACCCCTCCCCTGTTGCCCCTTGATTTCCTTCAGCTCACTGGCCAGATGCCCTCACTTTCCACTTAATTCATCTCCATCTCACACCTGGTTTATCTTCCTGTAACCTCAGGTGGATTTATTACTCCTCTCAAGTTACAATGACCTCAGTTAAGAATCAATGATAAAAGACACACCCCACTTCTGCTAGCTGACCCCAGGGTGAAGGGCCACAAAGCACCACTCTAGTGGCCTTGGAGACTCGTGGGAAGATGACGCCATGCCTCATTAAAAATGTGTGCGATTCAAGGCCATCCCAACACGGATCACCAACTATATGTCTCACAGGAGGACCCAAACTTTAAGGAAATTGCTTTCACAAAAGAAAAAAAAAGCCACTTGCAAAATATTGGGATGGTGGGTTAGTCCTGGGCAAAAGCCGTCCTCTGGTCACCACATCTCCAGGAGGCTGACTCTGCCCTCTGGTGCCCACAGGTGGTGTATTTCACTGCGTCGCTGCCCTACTGTGTGCTCATCATCTACCTGGTCAGGGGCCTCACGCTCCATGGAGCCACCAATGGCCTGGCGTATATGTTCACTCCTAAGGTACGGGCTCGAGGGAAGGAGGCCCTGAGGGCACCTCCATTCATCCTGCCATCTTCCAGGTTGGGTGGAGAGAGGGGAAGACAGAAGGTAGGTGAAAGCTGTCGTGTACCATGGGCTTGGTGTGAGCCCTCCAGGCTGCTGCAGGGGTGTGGATTACCTATGGGCGCTGGCTCAACTCCTCAGCCAGGCAGTCCCAAGCCCTGTGAATTCTGGGCATTGCATCTTTTGTTCACTCCTTTTCGTCATCCTTACTGCCCCTCAACCCCCCCAGTCTAACCCCAACCCCTCCTTCCAGCCTGTGGACTCAATTGTCTACCATTCTGACCATCTCACGCTCCTGCTCACCACTTCCATGCACCCCTTTTTCTACAGGGGCAAATCCACACTCTGCAGGGTTTTCCTTGATCCCTCCGCACCCCACCTACTGCCCAGGTCCCCCACAGCCAGTACTTATCAAAGGGGGAGGGGGCGGAGAGGGCACTATTGCCTTTGGGGCAGGACAAATTCTTCATTTAGCACATCTGGCTCCTGGAAACAAAATGACTGTGGCAGCATACCTCACGCCCCAGAAAATTTCCCGCGCCACATTCCAAATGGCCCCTAATATCAGTGCTGGGATTCAACCCAGACCTAGACCTCCACCACCTCCATGTCTGGGGACCCAGGCCCATGCAGCACCTGGGGCGTGGATCAGGGGCTCAATTCATTTTAAAATGATTGTACCGTGCACTTCTCAATTGCACACCTCCTATGGGTGAGGAGCTACGGAGGATATGCCAGGAGGAATGGGTTTCATCTGCTGAGGAATGGACAGGCTACCAGAGGGGCCAGGACAGCAGGGCTCCAGCCCCAGGCCTTCCCCTGGCTGCCGTGGGCCATGGACAAGGTCCTCCCACTCCCTGGGCCTCCCTCCCTCCCTCTGCTGGTCTGAGAGTTTGGGGTCCCCCTGGGGTTCATCAGCCCTGTCCTGCTGGCTCTCCAGCTGGAGCAGCTGGCCAACCCCAAGGCCTGGATCAACGCAGCCACCCAGATCTTCTTCTCGCTCGGCCTGGGCTTTGGCAGCCTGATTGCCTTCGCCAGCTACAACGAGCCCTCCAGCAACTGCCAGAGGCACGCAATCATCGTGTCCCTCATCAACAGCTCCACCTCCATATTCGCCAGCATCGTGACCTTCTCCATCTACGGCTTCAAGGCCACCTTCAACTACGAAAGCTGCTTGAACAAGTAAGCCTGGGCCGCCCAGTGAGCCCCAGACCTGGCGGGGAGAGGGACGTGAGCCTCCAAAGCTCCAAGCTGAAGGGGCTCCTGGGAAGAAGTGGACCCCGAGAAGTCCAGGGATGTGGACACAGGGCCCTCGGCTTTGCAGTCCTCAGTGCAGGGTTCAAATCCAGACTCCCCGTCACTGCCACCAGTAGCTGGTGGGCCTGTGGCAAGTCAGTGTTTGCTGGAAGGGGTGAGGGCAGTTTCTGTATTTAAAGCACTTAACAGGACACTCAACAGACAAACCTTAGCTGCTTCTGCCCCATCACCCCACCTCAAACACAAACCAGAGCTCTCTCTGAGCCATGGAGATCACACGATTTGCTTTCTGTTGCCCCTCTGCCCAAAACGCAAGAGACAGCATCCAGAAGGTATGCTGTCCAATACAGTAGTACTAGAGCCACAGGGGGCTCTTTACAAATTTAAATGGATGCTTATTTAAGTTGATCTACATTTTATTTAAATTAGCCTACATTTTAAAATGGGTGTCTGCTTTATTTAAATTCATTTGCATTTTATTCCAATCCGTTTGTATTTTATTTAAATCAATTTGCATTTTATTTAAATTGATTTACACTGTATTTAAATTAATTTAGATTTGGGGTTGAGTTCATTTTCTTTTTATGTAAATTAATTTAACTGAGTTCCTCAGATGCCACATGTGGCTCATGGATACCATGTTGGACAGCACAGATGTGCTGTTTCCATCACACAGGTTCTTTTGGACAACACTGGTCCAGAGGTTAAAATCGCCCGGCTGTGTGGGTTGGCACCTCTTGTCATCACTGTTCCTATTCGAGGCTTCTTCCAAGTCTCAAAACACCCTGCCTTTTCAAGTGTCACCAGTCCACAGGTTCCCTTTGTTGAGGACCTCACCTGATCAGAAAAGAAGAGGCAGGGGTGGGACAGCCTGGCGCCCGACCTTCTGGGAGGGTTTGGCGACTGTGGCCTTTCTGATCAGTGAAGGTCAACCTTGTGCTCTGCTCTGCAGGGTGATTCTGCTGCTCACCAATTCTTTTGACCTTGAAGACGGCTTTTTGACAGCCAGCAACCTGGAACAGGTGAAGGGCTACCTAGCATCTGCCTACCCCAGCCAATACAGCGAGGTGCTCCCGCAGATTAAAAACTGCAGCTTGGAGTCAGAGCTGGACACGGTAAGGCGCCGGCAAGCTGCCGGAAGACAAAATTCTCTTCCCCACTCCTCTTTAGAGGAGAAGGGAGACTTTACCGCCATTGTCCCTGGGCTGTTATTATAATCCTACTTATTATCAAGTTCCTTTGGGTTCTCTGTGACCTTTCTTCCTTTTCCTTTTCTCTTTTTAAATTTTGAAAAGAAAGTACAAAGAATAATATAGCAAGCACCCGTATATCTACCACCCTGAATGTCAACATTTGTCATTTGTAAACAATTATACACATTTTGTCATTTGGGGCTGAGGGGGTTTTTTTATGTGGAAGAAAAGAACATTTCAGGGACAAAGTTAAAATCCCCTTTTTTATTGGCCCCAAACTTTCCCTGCTCACCAGAGGCAAGAACCTTCATTTTGACATACTTATTACCCATGTGTATTCTTAAATAATATTATTGTTTTGCTGGCAGTTTTTATATGAAAATAAGTGGTCCTGGGAGATATCTTTCTCACTCAATATTCTTTTTTTTTTTTGAGATAAGTCCATAATGCTACATGTGGAATCTTGTTCATTTCTTTTAAATGCTGAATTTTATTCCACAATTTATTTATCCATTCCCTCACTAACAGACATTTGGCTTTAAAAAATTTGTTTGCTACTACATCTCCCTTATTTATATTTTACTGAATTATCTTTACTATGAAGGCATCTTTATTTTTTTTACATTAATTTTAGGGTGACTTTGACAAGTTCCACTGAGGGAGAATATCCCTTTAGGAATTTTTATTAGAATTGCATTGATTTTATAACGTAAATTGAGGAAACTTAATATTTTTTGATTCAGGACCTTTTGTGACTTTTGATTCAGGAAAGTGCTTTAATCTCATCATTCACTCAGGTCTTCTTTTATAGTCAACCAATTTTCTCCATGAATACCTTGGTACATCTTTCATTAGCTTTCCATCTAGGTACCTTATTTTTTTATTGATATTGTGAATGGTGTCTTTATTTCCTGTTTCTATCATTGTTTATTTTCTTCTGCAAAAGAGAGCTAAGCGTTTTTGTATGTTGGTCTTGTATCTAGCAACCTTAATGAATTCTCTTACTGATTCTCGTATTTGTCTCTATCGTTGCTTCAATTTTCTGTGTAAACTCTTGTATCACCTGCAGATATAATTTTGCATTTTTCTTTTCAATCCTTACCTCTCATTCCCTTTCTTTCCTGATTGCATTTGCTGGGACTTCCAGTACATTAGAAGTAGAAATGAGAGTGAGGGTGGGCATATTTGTCTGATTCTGATATTTGATACTTCTAGAGATTACTTCTAGAGAGCGTCTCTAGAGAATATTTTACAAGAACAAGGAGTAGTGAAGGCCCATCTCTCTGGTTGTGAGCAAGTTACCTTGGAGTTTGGGGCACACTGTTTCATGGTCATGTTCTAAGTCATTTCGAAGATGAGGCCACACTTCGCTCCTCCTGGCTCCCTGCTTACACCCACCTGTGGCATGACCCCCCTCCCTGGGCCGGGCGTCAGATCCCGTCCCCAGCGCCAGCCTTTAGAGCCTCGATCCCCTTCACATGACCCAGGAGGCCATTAGGCACCAGCCCCTGTTCACTGCCCTCGTTTCAAATTTCCTCTTTGTTGGCACCTGGGAGTCTTAGTTGCTTTTTTGAGCTCAATGTCCAAGAATTATGTGGTTATTGATTTATTTAGACTTTTTTTTTCCCTATTGTGTTCCCCCCCCCGCCCCCCATTCCACTCTGTTCTCTACTGTTTGGAATTTGTATACTCCATTTTTCTCCTGGAGATTTTCTCATGTATATTTAACTTAACAAAGCCTAAAGTTAAACGATATTTTGACTTCCTTCCCAACCTGTACAAGGACGTTAGACACTTTCAACTCATCCCTCCTGTTCTAAATACCATTTTGTCCAGTTCTTTTTGAAATCCACAAGTTGGATGCTATTGTTATTTTATACAATAAATACCTTTATCTTTAAGCAGGTTTATCTTTAAGCAGGCTCAGTTTCCACAGTTCCGTATCCCCACAACGATGTTTCCACTGCAGGGCCCTGGCCACTGAGCGACCCTGCCTCTGCGGGCTGCCTACTGGCCAGGCCAGCTCCCCACGACTCTGCTCCCACGGCCCCGACCCCGCCATCCCACCTCAGTCCCAGCCACTGAGGCCACAGACTCCTAGTCAGTCATGATATTAGAAGCAGAAATTATACAAACACCATGTTATATATTTTATCCAGAATTTATGTGAGTCGGGGCAGAAGGGAACTCAGTTTCCAAGTTCACTGAAATGTCTCCTCACGCTTTGCAAACATGGACTCCTGACAGCTCACCCTTCTGTCCAGCCCAGCGGACTCTGAGGGGCTGGTTTGCAGCAGGGAGATCCAACCGCAGAATGTGGCTTCTCGGGGCCAGTTCTGAGGTCCCCTGCGTCGCTTAGCACTGGGTATGTTTAAAGTGTCTTAAGTCCCTTGGGTGTGTGACCGGCGTCTTCTCGCCGCGGGCAGGCTGTCCAGGGCACTGGCCTGGCTTTCATCGTCTACACTGAAGCCATTAAGAACATGGAGGTGTCCCAGCTGTGGTCGGTGCTGTACTTCTTCATGCTGCTGATGCTGGGCATCGGGAGTATGCTGGGCAACACGGCCGCCATCCTCACCCCGCTGACCGACAGCAAGGTCATTTCCAGCCACCTGCCCAAGGAGGCCATCTCAGGTGAGCGGGCCAGCCAGCCGGATGCGTTGCCTCAGGGGGCTGTGTGCTTGTTTAGGTGGCCATGGGGGTGGTGGCAACCTCACAGTGGTCCTGCCCTCACCTTCTCGCCTCCGGCGATCCAGGGCTGGGTGCATCTGGTTCTCCACACCATGGGGAAGTGAAGTGGCCACCCCAACCTTGGGAAAAGGTCCAACTCCCCAGCCTGGCACCCAGAGCTCTCCAGGCTAGGAGAGAAGCTACTTTTGTCTTTGTTTTAGTTGAGGTATAACAATGATAGCGTGTATATTTCTTAAGCACAAACTCAGTGAATTTTACATATGTATCCATCCAAGTAATTGAGGTCAAGACACAGCATTGCCCACACCCCGGGAAGACCCCTCCAGTCTGCACCCCCAGAAGTCACCTCTATTCTGACTGCTATCCTTATAGGTATCTTGTCCCTGTTCTTGAACTTCAGATACATGAAGTCAGAGCGGAGTCTTCGCTAGGAAGTTCTGAAAGGGGTGTCCCACAGCTTAAAGTTCCTGCCCCGAATCATCTCCCATGAGCTCAGGGGCTGAGTTCTTGGGAGAAATAGCACTGGGGAGATCCCCCAGACAGCGATGCCCACAACTTTCTCTTTTCCATTGAGCTGATGTGCCCTGCAGGACAGCTCCATGAATTAACACCAGGGACTCCTGCTGACACTCCTTGGGACACTTTTGCCCCCTCCCCCAACACACACACACAGGCAGCATACACATTCAGAGAGGCCAAACCCTGACAGCTCTTCCAACCCACAAGGAAGGACCCATCAGCCAGAGTCCCCTTGGGGTCCTTGGTCCTGCCCCCCAGAAAACTGCATGACCAGGTGCAGGTCTCAGGTAGGTGAGCAGGTGGTCTTGTGGTCCCAGGTCTGGTGTGCCTCATCAACCTTGCCATCGGCATGGTGTTCACCATGGAGGCCGGCAGCTACTGGTTCGACATATTCAACGACTACGCTGCCACGCTGTCCCTGCTGCTCATCGTCCTGGTGGAGACGGTGGCCGTGTGCTACGTGTACGGGCTGAGGAGGTGAGGAGGCCCCGGCCGCCAGCTGCACGGCGGTTGGGAGGTGGGGGGAACGCCCACAGGAAACAACCCCTCCTCAACATGCTTTGCACTTTAAGCGTGGCAGTATTTTTCAGGGTTTTTAATGGGCCCCCAGACCTCAGCTGATTCTCTGCCTCACTCCCTGCCTTGGTTTGCCTATTTCCTGTACTTTTGCTATTTATTAAGGGATATTTGCCTGTTGACCCTGCCGGACCCCCGTGGCTACTGGGGCAGGGAGTCCTGCCTTCAGGCACTAAGTGCTGTGACCATCAGCGGACACCAGTATTTTCCAAGCACGCTGACCAAAGTCCGGTGGATAACTCACACCTTTGAAAAACGTGGCCAGTGTAGGACGTCAGGTTCTCAGCCCTGGTGCACAGTGCTGCCCTGGAGGGTTTCAACCTCCCAGGTGATGGGCTGTGCGGCAGGGCTGAGAGCCATGGGTCCAGAGCAGCTTTCAGACCTGAGCCTGCAGCAGGACTCCCTGGGGGCCAGCTCACACAACCCGGGGGCCTCAGCCCCAGGGCGCTGATGGAGTAGGTCTGGGTGGGACCCAAGAACTCACCTCCAGGTGAATCTGGGGCCCACGCTCCGAGAGCTGCTGAGTGTGGTCCCAGAGTAGCAGCATCAGGGAGCCTGTGGGAAATGCAGGGTCTCGGGCTCCCAGGCCCCCGCATCTTACCATGTCCAGGGGGCCAAGGCACAAGTGCTTCCCAAGTGAAGCACTGCTCAGACGTGAACCCCATTAGAAGCGCTGTGCCAAGTTGTCCCTTCCTGCCCCCCACCCCACACATAGTATTTTCTGATCCTCCAAACTGGCTTGGAGGCAGGTGGGGGACCAGCTGGGACTCTAGGAGCCAGGCCCCTTGTGCCCAGTTTCCCACCGTGTCCCTGGAAGCCATGCTGAGGGGTTTCCACGATCAAATACTTTCAGGATATAAGTTACACAAAGCCAAATGTCTCTCCTGTAGGACTTCTCAAAGCCTTGAGGACAATTGTGAATCTCAGACAGGGGTTGTAATTTGCAGCATTTTCAAAACTTTTGTGGTCAAGGAATACCTTTTACCCTCCCCCACAGCTACTACCAGTGTGAGGGCATTTATTAGAGTGACCAACTCTCCCCGTTTGCCCAGGACCTGGGAATTTCCTGGGACATAACACTGGAAAAGTCCCGGATAAACTGGGACAAATCGGTCACCTAAGAGATGCCAGTTTGGTCACCTTGAGAGAGTGGGTGTTTCAGGGTAGAGAGAGATGGCTGCGGAGAGAGGAACAGAACTGGAGGCCCTGGAGGGGGGCACATGTCCATCCAAAGGGGCTGGTGGTAAGTGGTGGGGATGGAGGGAGAAACCAAAGGTGCCCTGCGGGGTTTGTAAGCAGCCGGATCTGGGAATAACCAGGAGAAGGAAGTCTTTCTGCTTGCTCAGGGGACAGCGCCATCTGGTGGCCACCAAGCGACAGTACCATGCCGCCTTTCTTTCTGCAGCCTGCTCTATCCAGGAAAGTAGAGGGCAGGGGAGGTAAAGGGACAAGAAAACCCAACACTTTCTACCTTGTGTGGTCTTGCAAATCCCAGGTGTTCACATTGTGCATGTGAGTCTTCGTGGCCCCTTCCTCTGTGAAAATGGGGAGATGGCTGGGTCAGCATTTCCCAAAGTGCTGAAGATAGGCTAATCGTATATATTTTAAAAATATATAAAATATATATATAAAATATATATATATAATATATATATAAAATATATATATTTTAAAAATATATACGATTAGCCTATCAAGCCCACAATATAATGGACACCGTCATGCTATTGCTAGCTAAATGTAGGCAAAAGAATCAGTTTAAAGAGAAGACAGTCAGCAGACATGATCGAAAACACAGTGGTGGTCTACGGTCAGCTGCGCCTGGGAAGCGCTGCTCTGGCTTCTCTGCACGCCAGCTCGCGGGGCCACAGTCACGGTGTTTCTCCATCCCAGGCCTGGCTCTCCCTCTGTCCCAGAAAACCTGCTGTGGTTTCAGGGGAAAAGAGCGTTTCCCCTTGGGGGTGTATTTCCACTGGGCAGTAGAGTCGCTGATAGGAAGCAGGGCGGGAGGGGTGGGGCAGAGCTGCCCTCGGGGTCCCTGTCCTGCCATGTTACCTGTCTGTCCCCACCATCGCTGGGAGCTGCCCTCTGGTCTACACCAGAAGCCCTCCTCTGAAGACCGGCACCAGGAAGATGGTTTCTGACGCCCACTTCTCTGCGAGGTGGTGGCTTTGTCCCCCTTTGTGGCGGCCTCAGCCCTTCTCCCCTCCCCACGCCAACAGACCTCTCCCCAGGAGGAATCAGAGGGCCCAGTGGTTATGTTCAAACCTCAGCGGTGCCAGAACGGAGCCCCCCTTGCCCCAGCACAGTGGATGATTCACACTTTCTCGCCCTGTTTTCCAAGTAGATTTGAAAGTGACCTTCAGGCCATGACTGGGCGCACTCTGAACTGGTACTGGAAGGTCATGTGGGCCGGCGTGAGTCCCCTGCTCATCATCAGCCTCTTGATCTTCTACCTGAGCGACTACATCCTCACGGGGACCCTGCAGTACCAAGCCTGGGACGCCTCCCAGGTATCCGCTGTCTCGGGGCCCCCAAGCCCCCTCGGGAGCACGGGCCTTTCGTTTTCTGAAATCAAGGAACTATTTCCATGGCCTGGGCAGGTCATTTGTCACAACATGGAAACATCACTGAGGTATTTAAAACCTCTCAGCCTGAGAGCTGGGCTGTGAGCTTTTCAGCATGTGCTGCAGTAAAGAGAGAGTAAGATTTCCCCCAGAACTTCCCAGTAGACCTTATCCAGGGAGCCGCCCCTCAAAGGCTGAGTAAGTCTGGAGGGCATGACCCTTGACCTTGGTCCCTGCCCCTGCCCCCTGTGCCTGGGTGGAGCAGGCTCCTGGGACCTTTGGGGACTTGCATTCACACTTGAGTTCTTGGATGCTGGGAGGACCTACGGGCGTGGCTGAGACAGAAGGGGCTGACTCAGGGCACCGGGCAGCGGCTGTCTGCCAACTGGAAGGGCAGTGTGTCAGTATTTTAACAGCCAGGACAGCTGTGTCAGTGCGTTTGGCCTGAAGGTCCTCACGCAGACTCGCTTTCATAGAAAACACTTGGCCAATTTGGATTTCTTTTCCTGTGGGTAGAAGACCCTGTCCTTTAGCATACAGTGTGTGTGGTGTGTGCCAGGGTACGCGAAGGGCCCAGCGAGCCAGCTTACCCCACTCTACGCAAGCACGTGACTGGTAGAGGCCGAAAGGCACCCCCTCCGTCTGGTTCCAGCAGTGGTGCCCAGAGAGCTTCTCAAACTGTGGTGGAGGACAAGGGTGCCTTCTCCATCCCTAGCAGGCTGAGTCTTTTGTAAGATGCAATGACAATGAATTCCTTGAAAACTGAAACAAATAAGGAGATCTATGAAACACAAGTGCCAGCTATTAGATTCAACAGACCCAAGAGCACGCTGTCAAACCGCTACAACAGTTTCTACGTGTTTCCCCCCAATTTCTGCACTTGTCATTGCAGAACAAAAAGACTAGCTGACGAGTCATAAAAAGTCGGCGGCCGGGCCCCCGCGCCACACCTGGAGCCAGACGCAGTTGGCAGCAAGCACCTGCTCCCCTAGACGGAGCGGTCCCGTAGTTCCCTAGGGGAAAGATGGCATTTGTTGACTTTTTGGCCTCATTTCTCATCAGCACTGATGCATTTGCACTTAGGGAAACATCCAGCATCCCACCAACCAATCCAGAGGCCGATCAAGACCTCTCTTGAGACTACAGCTGTGCCGCTCCGTGTGGTGGCCGACACCCATATGCAGCTACTGACATTCATTGAGATTAAATGAAATTTTAAATTCAGGTCTCAGTCTCACTGGCCACCTTGCACGTGCTCCATAGCCACCTGGGTCTGTCTGGTGGCTGCCATATTGGACGGCACCGATAGGGAACACTTCTGTCATCCTAGGAAGTTCTCCTGGACGAGGCTGGTCTAAGGGCAGCGCTCCATTTAGGGCCCTGCGTGGTGCCTCAAACACGAGGTCCTTGGTCATCCTCCTGGTTACTCTGCGGGTAGCTCCGAACAATGGTTCTGTGCACACACCGCTGGAAGTGTGTGGAGCAAGGAGACCGGGGAGGTCACTTGCTCCAGAGCCACAGAGCCAGGCTGGAGGGCCCGGGGACTGGAGGGCACAGTGCTCGCCGAAGGCTCTACCCGGGGACGTGCTTCCTGCTGACGCTGAGCTTCTCCTTTCAGGGCAAGCTTGTGACCAAGGATTACCCCGCGTACGCGCTGGCCGTCATTGGGCTGCTTGTGGCCTCCTCCACCATGTGCATTCCCCTGGTGGCCCTGGGGACTTTCGTCACGCGCCGCCTCAAGAGGGGAGACACAGCCCCCGTGGCCTGAGAACTGGGCTTCCCAGAGGCGGCCGTCAGCTGCTCACTGTTTCACAGCTACTATTTACAGGTGGGATCTCCTCGGCTGCTTTTTACAGTAGTTACTCCAGAAGTCCTCAAACCATCCTCTTCGTGAGTCTATAAAGAAGAATTAGGAAGGGGTAGAGGAAGAAGACCCCCTCGGGAGAGCCCACGCCCCGCTCACCAAGCGGCCCCTTTTCCCCTCGCTCTCCCCCAAGGTCACCAGCACTCATATGCTGGCTCCTTGTCACCAATGAGGCAGGTTTTTCAAGGCCCGTCTTGGAAGACGATTGCTTCCTTGATTCTAGGAACGTCCTGGACTTAGGGCACACTGTGAGCTGAAATTTGACTATCATTCTTATGGAAAAAAAATGTAAGCATTTCTTTTTCTAAAAAGATTTCAAAATATTGGAGGGCAGCCATTCTCAGAGCAGCTTGAAAAGGAGTTTTTAAAGTGCCTGAGATGACAAATCTGGATGTCACTGGTGCAGAATTAGTTCTCGTTTTTTAGTCACAGTGAATATTCAACGGCTGTGTTCTCCTCTGATAGGGTTGACTGGCCCTAGAGAAAGGAGGCCTTTGTTTGGGACCCACGCAGGGGTCACTTTTCTCTCATCTAAGGCCACTCACAGCAGATCCAAAGCCAGTCTTCTCTATAAAAATGGCCCCAACTACCGTTTGCAACCCCAAATCACCGCTGGCGTGGTTCCGTGAGGAATAGGTGTAGACAGCCCCTGCCCCTCATGTCTCCGTATATTGGAAACGGTGCCAGATAACTGTGAGGATGAAAGTGCGTCCAGCCTTCCCGCAGACTTCACGTTACATTTGGGCATGACGGCCAACTCTTTGTAGGAAAGACTAAGAATACTACTTACAATCAATTTTAAATTATTCTCTGTACATAAGTTTTCTAAAATGTATATAACTCAAACAGAGCATCTTGTAACTGAAGACACACGGTATTTATGATACAGCTTTCATCCACCATGCGAATGTCTCCTGTCTTTTTTTTACTGCAGTTAAGTAGGTCAAGGTTAGCCCTGAAGTGTTTCTGCTCTAACATCCTGTGCTTCCCTGAGACCATGGAATTCAGGAACTGGTCCTTGGGGTAGATTTGCACAGACATCTTTGAAGACACTTTGCTCAGCTGGAGATGTCTTTGTATTGTAACTTCTTTTCGTGCTACCAGCTTTCCTACAGCGTCAGGAGGGCCTTCTGCTGTCTTGAACTGCCATCTTATCAATACTTGCACTTCACCAATGGCCAGTTATAAAAAGGTCATTTGCCTTTAAAATGGATGAACCAGCATGTATCTACCCCAAATAGTTAGTCCTCTGATTTCTCATCAGAAGTTTCCTGAGGGCTGAAAAACTTCAGATATCAAGGCTTGAAGATATCAAGGCACTCAATGGCAAGTGCATGGTACAGAGTCTGTTCCTGAACCCTTAGAGATCAGCTACCCCCAGCCCCCTCCCCCGTCATGGTCACTGTCTTACAACATGGGCCACCCCTCCTGGGGTCAGTCAGCATCAGGGCATTTCTGCCCCAAATGCCAGGTGTCTCCAGCAGCGTAGAGACAGATGTCCTAGCTCATTACTTCTGTCACACTCTATTTCCATGGTCTGCACAGCCCATTCGAACCACCTGGAAGAATTTAAAACCTGATGCCCAGGCCATGCCCCAGAACCAGCCAAATCTGAAAACCAGAGCCCCATTTACAAAAGAAGGAAAATGTATCATACATTTAGGAATATTTACATCAATATGACCTTTTAAAAGTTTGAAAGCATTTTTGAGCATTTCCAATCATATGGAAAAGTCACTTCCACAGAATAATTTTTGGTCACAGAGGTCAGAGAGCTGAAATCCCACTATTTGCAGCAAAATGTGCTCCAGGTGAAGCTGTCTCAAGTTTCCAGTCAGTGTTCCTCTGGTTTCGGTGGATTGCATCAAGAGCGGAATGTTCTCAATAATTCTCTTGAGCCAGTGATAAGTCCTGTCTCAAAAAATCCTTTGTTGACTATTTTCTAGGTACTTCACAAAATGGGTCACCTTGTTATTTGTCCACTCCATCTCCCGTAAGCTGGAGAGAAAAAGGGACTTTCCATCCCTGTACACTTAACAGTAACCATGACGACAAGGCCAAATCACCAACTCCAGACAGCTTTCTATTTATACTGGACATGTAAGGACCCTTGACTTAGCGCTAAGAAATCAGGTGGGGAAATATTTGGTTTTTAAGCAATTATCATCAATAAAACCCTAAACAAGTATATCTACAGGGGTTTTTTTGTTGTTGTCATTTACTGGTTACTTTTTAAAACCTTTCTCTGAACACAAAATTTCCCTTTCTGATGCAAACACACAAGCTAATTTTGAAAAATGGAAAGTAGGGAGCAATCGGTTAGCTCAGTTGGTTAGAGTGTGGTGCTGATAACACCAAGGTTGCCAGTTGGACCCCCGCATGGGCCACTGAGCTGCGCCCTCCCTAAAAGAGTCAACTATGCGATTGTGGCATGAAAGCGACGCGTAACCATGTGGAGGGGCTCTAGCTCACAAGGCCAGCAGAACTCCTCCCACCCCCCACCCCCCCATCCTTGCTAATGCATCAGACCAACGTGGACCAGACAGACCCGCCCATGGTCAGCTGAATATGACTCATGACCTTCATCAGCGCCATTGAGAACAGAAGAATCACCCAGCTGAGCCACGCCCCAATTCCTGGCTCAGCACTGCGACGACTTTCCAGAAACAGAAGCCTAGAACACAAATAAAGCCGAGAGGGGAGATCAGCGGGGAGTGCAACAGTGAGTGAGGTTGGACAAAACCCGGGGGGATGTGTGATCCCAGAAGCTCCAGGAGGAGAACATCCTCAATTCTCCTAAACATGACTTAGAACCAGCACTTCCTGCTTTTCCTAACCTCAGAGTCTACGTTTAAACCCAACCCTAATAGGAGCCTAAGTTAGGACATAGAAGGTAATGCGATATTTTAATGGATGATACTTTAGCTTTGTACTAGAAGAATAAACATGCAACAGGCACACATCACTGAAAATAGTGAATGGAGAAAGACGAACGCTGGGACCTTTGGCTAAAACAAAAACAGAAATTCAAGCTCAGAATAATCTATAACGAGAAGTGCTAAGAACAAACAAACAGACCATCTAACCAGTTCACCATTCATTGTAATAATTAAACATGTCATAACTCAATAATTGCACCCCCCCCACGCCCCATGAAACCACTTTCTTGGCGTTTCTGTGTCCAGCACAGGGGGTGAGAGCTGGACCCCCACCTGCGTGTCTCCCTGGGTTTCACAGCAGGTGTGTGCGTGTGCACGTGTGTGCGCACATATGTGCACGGATCTTAAGGAATTACCAATCAAAGAATTTGTTATTGAAAGAGACCATCAGTTTCAAACTCAGCGAGGTTCAAACAGAGCCCGGGTTTTGCAACTCTGACGCCGGCGTGCTCAGCCCCATGCCAGCCTTCCCCAGAATGAATGCACAGGGGACTGGTTCTCCGAGATGCTCGATGAAGAAAAGATTCCGTATGCCCTCAAGTCTGGCTGCCGCTGCACTGCGTGTAACCATGCATCCCCCGCCCCCTCAGGAGTCACTTTTCAAACCTCTGACAAGTCTTACAGTTTACACAACTCTTTAACTTGATTTAATCCAATGTTTTCCAATAGCTCTCACCACAGATGCCTGTTTTCAGAAACCAACAAGGAACATACAGGAGAATTCACATTACCCCAAAACACGCAGGAAAACGCTTTGCCTGACAGACTGGGGGACCCAGGCCATCCTGCAGAACGCGGCTGCATGACGAAGGGTTCTCAGCAGTGAATACACCCAGGCCAGTGGACAGAATACAACGCCTGAAAAACACACGGGGACAGGGGACCCTGATGTGTGACCATGGTGGCACTGCCATCAGGAGGGAGGGTTTCAGGAAAGCTCTCCATATGGGAAAAGAGAAAACTGGACTCTGTGTCCGACGGCATCTTACGCTGCCTTGTCCCACCTCGATTCCTTCACGTCTGACCACGCGACTTGCTTTGACCAGTGAAATGTGGACAGAGGAGGCTGTCACTTTCAAGCAGAAATGTCTCCCTTTTTCTTTCTGCCAGAGAGGAGCTACTCCATCACTCTGGGTCCCCGGATACAGGCATCGTGGAGCAGGGCTGCAGCCAACCCTTCAAGGATGCGTGGATGGACTCAGAAAGAAACCTTCACTTTTTTTAAGCCATTGAGATTTGGGGATTATTTGTTACCCTGCATAATCTGACATATCTGGATTGATACAGACCCTTTCCTTATTCCATAGGGTGTGAAAAGGCCTGAAAGGGAGAAGGCAAAACTGTGTGGAAAGGTATCTCTTGGAGTCAAGCACTGTGGTCTGACCCAGGCACAAAAGGTGCTGGGAAAATTTCCGTAAATTCAACACCATTGAAATTATACATTCCTTTCATCCAAGTCACCACAAGAAGCAGCCACCATGGAAAATAGTTTGGAGGTTCCTCAAAAAATTAAAAATAGAACTACTTTAAAACCCAGGCAACTCCACTTCTGGTATCTAGCCAAAGAAATTCAAAACACTAATTCAAAAAGATATCTGCACCCTTATGTTCATTGCAGCACTATTCACAATAGCCTAGAGATGGAAGCAACCTGAATGTCCATCAATAGATGATTGGATAAAGAAGTAGTAGTCCATATATACAATGGAATATTACTCTGCCATAAAAAAAGAATGAAATCTTACTATTGGCAACAATGTATAGATGGTATTACGTTAAGTGAAATAAGTCAGACTGAAAAAAATAAATACCATATGATTTCACTGATATGTGGGATAAAAAGAACAAAATAAATGAACAAAACAGAAACAGACCCATAGATATGGGGAACATACTGATGGTTGCCAGGTGAGAGGGAGTTTGGG